AATGACGTTGGTTTCTGGTTCATCGTTTCTGAGGCAACTCTCAGCAGGGTGGCGTATCTTTTGTACTTTCTCCTCAAGGGAGCAAAGGGCAACTTCCTGATTATCGTCACGACTAGATGCCAAGATATGGTCATCCAGCAGACATTCTGCCCAAATTGAAGACGAACCTGTGGCATGTGTAGGGCAGCAGTGCTTTCCGCCTATGTCTGCACTATGTGAGAAATCAACACTTACACCCACTGGTTGCACAACTGTTGTTTCTTCGCTTTCGGTGTCATCAGACATAATCTCCAACAGCTTTTGTTGCAGTTGATGCTGTCGCCTTTTCAAGGCGTTGTCCTTATGTTTTGAGGCAAGTCTTCTCCTCTGCAAATTCTTCAGTCTGTTGCACAGAATTCGTCGACGTGAGCAAAGGTCATAGATGTCCGATTTACGTCTGGTGCTGGATCTTGGTAATTTCTCTACATCCATGTCATCTAATGACCAATCTTTTGCAAAGAATCGGAAATCACTGAATGGTGTGATGGGTGGGATTTCCATATTGCCCACTGTTGTGATGTGGCTGTCGGTCTGTTGAAGTCGACGATCTCCTCGGTATTCAGACAACACTCTAGTTGTACAGTTTGTGAACACCTTTATCTTTATTGTCCAGTCACGGATGACTTTGTTTATCTTAATGAGTGGCAGTTGTCTCAGTGAGTGACAGCTGTCTTAGTGAGGGGCAGCGTCGGCTTATAGCGATACAATACACCCCTAGAAGAAAGAGTTTGCTTTAATTGTAATGATGATGTAGAGAATGAATCACACGTACTTTTACATTGCCCCCTATACAAAAATGTCACAAAAAATATGTTATCTTTGTGTTCAACTTTAAATGCTGTTTCTATAGCATGTCTGAAGCTGATCAGTTGGCTTTTATTATGTCAAGCCCATATATGTTTTAGAAGTTAGAAAATCGTTTTTATAGACCTAATATCTTACAATCCTTTTATAACACATGTTTAGACTGTATGCTTTTTATTAATGTATACTTCTTTAGCCCCATTCACATGCACATGTTTAGCTTCTGGAATATGTAACTTTTCCTTTAAATGAAGATGACATGACACAATTTACTCACAGTGCAAATTTGCACATATGTAAATATACTTTTGCACCTGGTCCTGACCATATGTAAATATGCTCCTAGTGTATATTTATATATACGTGAGTAAATGCGTTCACATGACACATTTACACACGTATGTAAAGTTTGCTCGTGTGTGTATTTATACATAAGTGTGCAAACAGGTGAACGGGGCTTTTGTATTGTATATTTTATGTTCATGTGTATAGTCTTTTATAGTCTCTTATAATCCCATAAGGGATGGCTCATCACATGTATTTTATTATTTGATTTGTATATATGTTTTAACTTGTATGAGGTGAGGCTAAAATAAAATATCTGGTTTAAACATATTTATTTCATGAAAAAGCAAAGACAGAATTTTCATGAACTGGAGTGGTCAACAAGCTCGAAAGAACTTATATGAAGACCGCTCCAATATACATAGATATATGAAACAGTATCATGACAAGAAAAGATAATATCTAAAATGAAAGTAGATGGAATGACATGTAGTCGCAAAATTAAAATCATGATGGTTGTATACATTCATGGCATCTGCAGTCGGGATCCATAGTAGTATAGGTTTTAGTGTATGACTTGCTCAGTTAAAGCGCCTAGTTGTCATTATAACTAGATGGACTGATTTTAAGATATGTGATTGAATTTGTGGGTCCATGGAAGACGTTCCGTATAAGATTGTTTCTAATGAAAAGCCATTGGTATAATAAAATTTAATTAAAATATCTGTCCGTCTGTCTGTCTGTCAGCGATCAATATTTTCATAGCTGTATTGATGACGTGACAACTTGTCAACCTGCTACAATAAGTGACTACGAATACGATAAGGTGTAATCCCAAATATAACAGATGTTACAGTGAGTGAGTTATATTTTCACGTCGCATCGGCACTATTTCAGCCATATAGCCATCCACCCGCTGCAACCTGTGAAGGTCCGGGTTAGAATATTGATCTTCAGTAACCCATGCTTGTCGTAAGAGGCGACTAACGGGTTCAGGTGGTCAGACTCGCTGACTTGGTTGACACATGTCATCGGTTCCCAATTGCGCAGATCGATGCTCATGCTGTTGATCACTGGATTGTCTGGTCCAGACTCGATTATTTACAGACCGCCGCCATATAGCTGGAATATTGCTGAGTGCGGCTTAAAACTAAACTCACCTCACCCACCCGCTGCAGGTTTCAATACATGGCCTGATGGGCCCGTGTGCGAAATGCGTATTATATCTGAAAGCGGACGTTAAATCTCCAAATCACCATCATCATACAGATTTCACAGTTATTTTGTTTTCAACACAAACCCTGTTTTTGGTTTGATGAAATGGATATCACATTTAAACATTCATTTTAGAAATATATTCGAGTATTTGAATATTTCAATGGTATCTATTAAACATCGAAAATCTTAAAATATTTTTAGAACATTAAATTCATCTATCTCCTGTTTTTGTGTATTATGGTAGTGTTGTGGATGAAGTGTTGACTTGTCATGCTGAAGGTCCTGGATCGATTCCCAACATTTGTGAAATGTGTGAAGTCCATTTTTGGCCATGACATCCAAAAAGCTGCATTCAGACTCTTTTCCCTAACTGTTGTAAAGGATTGGTTGGATAAAATAATTGTAAGACTCACTCACTCACTGTTGTGGAAAAGGATTTGGTGGATTATATTAAAATATATATCTCTACAACTCATGACAAGAGTGACAAATGCTTACTCGACAAGACCCTTACACTGTCATTAATCCACTCTGGAAACCAACCACCTTTTGAAATGAAACAATTCCTTTGTTATGAACACAATGGTAAGCATCATGATGAAATGGCTGTCTATCCATCCAATTAAACACAGAAATATCTTGTAGGATATTCAGACGCATACATTAATTCAATCTTTGATTCAAGTCAGTTTGGAGAACTCTTCAACAGACTGTAAACATAGCTCAACACCATCAGAAGGTCAGTGAAGTATATTCAGATGAATACATTAATTCAATCTTTGATTCAAGTCAATTTGGAGAACTCTTCAACAGACTGTAAACATAGCTCAACACCATCAGAAGGTCAGTGAAGTATATTCAGATTAATACATTAATTCAATCTTTGATTCAAGTCAATTTGGAGAACTCTTCAACAGACTGTAAACATAGCTCAACACCATCAGAAGGTCAGTGAAGTATATTCAGATGAATACATTAATTCAATCTTTGATTCAAGTCAATTTGGAGAACTCTTCAACAGACTGTAAACATAGCTCAACACCATCAGAAGGTCAGTGAAGTATATTCAGATGAATACATTAATTCAATCTTTGATTCAAGTCAATTTGGAGAACTCTTCAACAGACTGTAAACATAGCTCAACACCATCAGAAGGTCAGTGAAGTATATTCAGATTAATACATTAATTCAATCTTTGATTTAAGTCAATATGGAGAACTCTTCAACAGACTGTAAACATAGCTCAACACCATCAGAAGGTCAGTGAAGTATATTCAGATTAATACATTAATTCAATCTTTGATTCAAGTCAATTTGGAGAACTCTTCAACAGACTGTAAACATAGCTCAACACCATCAGAAGGTCAGTGAAGTATATTCAGATGAATACATTAATTCAATCTTTGATTCAAGTCAATTTGGAGAACATATTCAGATGCATACATTTATTCAGTTTCTAATTCAATTCATATTGGAGAGCTCGAGAGCAACATCAGCACCAGAGATTGGTCAGTCTTGAGTATCAGATTTCCTGAGGCATAAAAGTCAAAATAGTGGTGAAATGTATATGACCAGATCACTGAACATCAGTGACAATACCAGTGTCCATCAAAAGGGTAAAGATGTTCCTCCATCAATGGATAAATCAGTGAAATGTCCATCAAAGGGTAAAGATGTTCCTATATCAGATCACTGACAATAACATCAGGGTGACAATAAACCAGTGACAATACCAGTGTCCATCAAAGGGTAAACATGTTCCTCTATCAATGTCAATAAAAGAACACGGCTTCACTGTAATTGTTTCTGAAATCTTGAACATTAACTTGACTATAAATTTTGTGTGAATTAGCTAGAATACTCAGAACACATTTAAAAGGGTTATTATACTGTTTCCAAATTAAATTGTGTTGTGAATTTCACCAAATCTCTTGCAATAAGTTTCCAAAGTGAGTTGAAATAAGAGGAAATTGCCTTCATGAAAAATGGAATAATAACAAGTATCTAGCCAATATCATAAATATTTGACCCGATTTTACGAAGCAGTCATAGCCTTTGACAATCATAGAACAATGTTAAAGTATGGGAGTTATGATCCCCTTAGGCATACGATCACTCCAATAGGAGCATGGAGTTCAGACAAACCCTCTGAAGATGGTCACCTCAGGTAAACAACAAGAGGACCTTCAACACATGATCTGTGATCTTGAGTGTATTAAATGATCCAGCTTCATTTCTTGACCCTCATGAGTTGATAATTTTTTTAAACAAAACAGATCTTTTCCTTTGATGGTATCTTCTTGAAGCCGATGCCTGACACAAACATGTATATAATATCCACAACAAAACAAAATGCTGCTTTCTTTATTACCATTCAGAACTGTTTGTTTATGTTCATTTTCAAAATGTGTTGCTCTGAATGCTTGCCCTGCATGTACTGAGAATCTAGAAGCTTTTTGAAGTTTTGAACGATGGCAGAGACAACTACTCTGGAGGGTTTGTCAGTTTCAGACAGAGAGGTCGACTGTGAAGACACTATTATTTACCTACAGTAAGTGGTAGCCTAATGTAAGACAAGTTGTAAGTTTACATACAAAAGATCGTCACGATATGGCTGAGATATTGCCATTGTGACGTTAAATATTAACTCACACACATACAAAAGACATCTTGAAAGACAAAGGAAGTTCAAAGTGATTTATCACGATCATCATCTCCAAAACACTTTAAGGTTTGGGGTAGCATCGTGGTTACAGCGCTGACTCTTCAAGCCGTACACCAGGTCCATTTTCCATGCCAGTCTTTATAGCATCCCCTTGCCACAACAAATCACAATCATCCATTGCTGAAGTAACAGGTCCCTGTCAAATCTTAGCACAGCTGTACTTGAAAGACAAGCATCCTTGAAGATTCCCCAATGAGGAGAGCAAGGAGGTATTTGGAGTCCGGGGTGAAGGTCAGCTGCCTAACATCTCCGCCAATCTGCAGACTCACCACCTCCAGACCGGTGCTGGGATTCCACAGCTTGATGACTCCCTCTTCACAGACCGACGCCACCACCTGGGCATCTGGGCTCACAGCTGCATCAACAACCTGCATAGCAGTAACATGAATCAATAGTTAGATACCTTTTGTTTGTCTTGTTTGTTTGTTGGTTAATGCCCACTCAGCAATATTCCAGCTGTATGGCGGTAAATAATCTGGATCAGATATTCCTGTGATTAACATCATGATCATGGATCTATGCAGAGGGATGATGATATTTTTCAACCAAGTCAGCAAGCCTGACCACCCAATCCCTTTAGTCGCCCATATCCCAATCTTATAAATACAACTGAAATATAACTGACTGACTGACTGAGTTTTGGTTTTACGCCACTTTTAGCAATATTCCAGCAACATCACGGCGGGGGACACCAGAAATGGGCTTCACACATTGTACCCATGTGGGGATTCGAACCCGGGTCCTGGGCGTGACGAGCCAACGCTTTAACCACTAGGCTACCCCACCGTCCCGAAATATAACTGAAATAGTCTTACGAAATATTGTTTAAAGCAATGTTATACTAAACTCACTTACTCAAATAATGGGGAAGAGATGGGTTTCTCCGAGTGTCATTTCTTCACTCATGGGTGTATTTATTTCATAATATGTCATCATTCTGGGACCTGTTTACCATTATACCCCTGCTACAAGGCCAATGACCTGGTCACTTCATGCTTTCTTCCCATCAAATGGACTTGCTGTGATATTAATTCAAAATTCAATTAGAATTCAAGATACTCACTCACAAGAACAAGAAGAACACTAACCGCTTTGTTATGTTTTGTTGGTGGGGCTTTCATCCCAACTGGAAGTCCAGACTCAAAGCCATAGATGATGAGGTAGCCATCTTCAGACCCAACAGCCAGGAACTGTTGTTTTGGAGGCTGCACAAAGCAGGTGTTAGCTCCTTTGCACTGGCTCTCTCCAGCCCAGTCCGGTCTGTACACCATCCCCAACTTCTTCCCTTTAGACATCTGCTGATCACATTTCCCTGTTGGAATGTCCCAAAATACTCCATGGCGACGTGCTGCAATTATCATCATGTTTCCCCTGTAGGCTGAAATCGTCTCTCCAAGGGTGGGGATCTTTGACAGATTCCTAAGACAATGCTGTATGTTGCCAGTTCCTTGACTTAAGTCCACAGCTGCAAAACGGTATGGGTGAGGTTGGGAAGCAAAGGCACCTGACTTCTTCCATGATTCCTTGATTGACTGGTAGTCTCCTGGTGTACATTTAGCCATGATGACTAGATACCGTTCAGAGCTACTCAGGACTGTCCTCAAACTGATGAAGTCAAACATCTTCTGAAGCATTGTCTGTTTTGCCACACCCTGCTTCAAGTCCAACTGATGCAAAGAAACTTTGTTGTCTTGAGCCAAAACATACAAGGTCAGCTTATCACTACACAGAGACCATGAAAGAACATTTTTCGGAATGATATCCTCTAACACAGATTCTCCTGAGTCTGATCTAATTGCTTTCAGAGCTTTCATTTCCTTGTTGTACAACAAGGCAATACCACTGCCAGCTGGATGAAGCTCATCTGCATCAAAGCCAACATCAAGGGACTTGACCAAATGTCCAAATTTCACTGACCATACTTCAACTTTGCCATTCCCTCCTGCTGTGAAGACCTGACCACTGTCATTACTGACAGCAAAGCATCTGTACTGATGGTCATCCAAGAGTGTGTTGGTGACAACACCTGGTGTCCTGTGGGCCAGACAAGGGAATGTGGGAATCAGAAGAGTCTTTTTACTTGATGTCAGGAGATCATAGGCATCATTCACAAGCTTCTTCAGATAGATGCAGTCCTCATCGGGTCTCAGGTACACCAAAATACTTCTTGCAAGAACTAATCGGTTTTTCAGTTTGTTCTTGTGTGAATCAAGAAATGTCCTCAGGCTTTCAATTTCTTTGTCATTTCTTTGTTTCAGGAATGTGTTCATATCATTGATGACCTCTACAGTAGAGCAGGCAGTGATCTTGGTACTGAGGAAGTCAATATTGCAATATACCAAGCCCTTGAATGTGTCCTCATCAACTGCTCTTGCAGCATGGTTCAAATGATGAGTTACACATTTCAACTTCCGGAGATTCGAGACACTGGTTGGCTGTGGAGTGACTTGTCTGTCTGCATCCTTGAAGTCTTTCTTCCTTCGGGACAAATAAATGTCCTTCTTAACCCCTGTTTCTGCCAGGTATATCTGAAGCAAAGTTGAGTGGAGTTTGTCCAGGAACTTGTCCTGAACATATCGAGCCAAAGCTGACATGATGAACTGTCTGTGATACCAGTACATTGTTATCTTGTTCTGGGACATCCTCTCCACAAGGTACTCCTTGATGTCATAGCGGATCCTGGCCCACAGAACTGGAGGAATCCTCACCATGCCAGGAACTGGAGGGTCATGAAACCTGTACACTTCATCCAGGACTTCATTGTCACAAGACAAAACATCCTCAAGCTCTATTTCAGATAATCCATTGAGTCCAACTGTGATGTATCCAAGAGCATTGCGTATCAAAACCTCCCCAAACTTTTGCTCAAGCCTGTCAAATAGAACATTAATGGCTTCCCTAATTGATCCAGCAAGCATCAAGTCACTGACAGGATTGAAGGAGGACCATTTCATTGCCTCATCAAGGAGAAGCTTCAGGTACAGAGGGCTAGGAGCTTCAGAGAAGACTTCAAGGATGAACCGAACTTGGTCATCAGTAACTCTGCGTTTCCTTAGCTTCAGATACTTATCAATGATCTTCTTGCCAGTGGATTCTGGAAGTATTGGCACTGCCATGTACACTGCTGATTCTGGCAGTCTCTTCTTAATGTTGGACAAGATGTTATGTTCTGTTGGCAAGGTTGAGATGATCAGATGAACATTGGAAGGCAAATTGGTAGGAAGCCATGACATGCTGTAGGCATCGTTCTCACTTGACAACTGGTCAATAGAATCCAGGAGTATGATGATTGGATCTTTGAATGTGGAAGACATGCTGCGGAGAAACCTTGGAATGTATTCAATGAGGCTGGCCATTGTCCTGTATCCCATTGGCTCCATGATTGTATCTGTGCAGTCGGCTATCTGCCCACAAACATCAAATAACACATCATAGATGTTGAGTGTGGAAGGCGATGTTCCAAGGAACCGAATCATTCCAATATAATCTCCTTTGATCCAAGACCGCAGCTTGTTCATAACCATTGCCATTACTGAAGTTTTGCCAGCTCCAGATTCTGCCCAGATGGTTAGAGGCTGTCGAGACTGGCCCGACAAAATGTGATCTTTGACCTTCTGGAGGATGTCCTCCTGGCCACAGAAGGTCTCACACTTGGACTTACAGAAATGAAGATGATGGAGAGTCTCATCCAAGCCACAGTAATACTCCCTCTGTCGGATGTGAGTCGATCGCTCTTTCTTGGCAAGCATGATCATACTGGACACATCCTGCGTCAGTTTGAGACTGAAATCTTGGATGTAGGCTCTGTGTTCAGGACTAGCTGTAGGGTCTACTCCCCCACTTTTCCAGGGAGCCTTGAAGGTTTTGCAGTTCTGTGGGCCAAGGATTTTCTCAATCTTTGAGATAGAGGCTTTCTGTAAGGCAGCTATTTCCTTGTCAACTGTTTTCTGAAAATCAACATTACAAATTTAGTTTAATTGTGTTACATATATACATATATATTGAAACTTAGGACAGACTTGTAGTTTATGGTTAACAGATGTTTGAAAAATTATTGCCGATACTTAGGGGAAATAACATAAAATAAAAAGATTTCCATTCTCGTCTTTGAATGTTTGAATGCATTGCACTGTGTACTATATTTAGGAAACTGTCTTGTCGGTGCTTCAGTTTGGGTAAGTTTATATTCAAAAGAATATATACATAGTGAAGTACTCAGAGTTAATATTTCAGGATCATAGCTCCATAAATCAAACATTTTTCAAACTGAAGCCTTACATTGTCATGACACTATATGCAGAATTTGAAATTCCCCTGTATGTTGATTTGTTACCAGTCTTTCTAATTCTAAAGAATAATCACAGATTCAGTTCCATCTTGAGACTTTCTGGGAGTTAAATAGTCATCTGCTTACTGCTTGATCCGATGCGCTCAGTGTCAGTTGTATGGAATAAATGACGTACCTTTCCCTGGGAATCGGTGATACTGATGTATCGGTGAGCATCTTTGTCCTCCAGATGTTCATCAGTTAGCCCCGTGAGTTTCCGCTGATACAGAAGACAATGAGAGCTTGGCTTAGGAGCCTCAAATATTCCTTTTGATGTCTCATATTCAGTTACTGAAATTAAAACAAATAGTTTTTAATGGTATGAAACAATTACTGTTCCTTCAAACTAAGACTTTCCAATCTGCAGAAAGGTAATCAAAGTAGGGGAGAATGACTTGTGATGCAGCAGGCAGCAAATAAGAAGATCAAAGATTCAAAGAAGACATTAAGTATTAGGAAAAGAGATATTGGGGAAGAGAAATGTAACTGGGGGATAAACATATGTGAGTAGTGACTGAGTCATGTTTGAGGACAGCCATTAACTGATGAGATACAGTTTGAGTTACATATGTCTATAGCTAAATGAATGAATAAATGAATGAATGAATGAATGAAAGAATGAATGATGAATGAATGAATGAATGAATGAATGAATGAATGAATGAATGAATGAATGAATGAATGAATGAATGAATGAATGAATGAACAGCTGTTATTTTAACACAATTACAGCTTCCGTTACTCAGAGAAATCCTACACAAAATACTAATGAGAAATTTCTCTGATATCTTTCTGATTATAGAAATGATTTCATTTGGTAAAATAAATTTTGAAACAATCAAGACAGAAAGAGAGAGAAAGAAGAGAAGAAGGATTGCTTAAAAGCAAGTGAATTTGTTCAAATTTTCTCTGTTCACCCAGCACTAAATGGGTACCTGGTGGGATATGACTGCAAACCTAGTGCCGCACATGCCGCTTGAGTTAACCAGGGACTACGCGTTGCACATAGCATCATTAAAGTGAATATTAGGTGGTCTATAAATGTATGTCAAGATATTGCTAGAATATTTATCAAAACAGCTTAAAACCACACTCACCTGACTTAAAGTACATGTGTCTCTGTTCCTCAGACAGCTTCCCCTCTTGGTGCAGCAGACTGGCAGCTTCACGGACAATGGACAGCATCGATGTGAACGCTGTCTGCCATGATTCCAAGGCACGTTGTCGCAGCTCCTCACATCCTGGGCTGTAGTCTCCAAAATGTGGAAACTGGGACCTGATTGGCTGCAATGTTTTAAACACACACATGTTTTAAGTTTAAAATATTTTTACAAAAATATATTTGTCATGAAATACATATTTATGATTGGACTTGGTCAATCACAATGTTTAATTTTGTACCTGTTGATAAATACTATGTACAGTCAACAAAACCCTTTTCAAATATTAGATATCAATTGAGTGACGATACGTCGAGAACAACAATAATGATCAGGACATTGTATGTCCAGACTTGGTTCTATACAGGCTGCTGTCACCAAACAAACAAACAAACAAACAAACAAACAAACAAACGATCAGTCCCTCCATGCGTTATAGTTCACCTTTTACAAAATCCTGTTGCACATAAACAGTAACATTAATGTTCCAAGGGTAAAATGGGGTTGTAAGGGAAGCTTAATGGTCATTTATTAAACCAATGACCTGAGTTTGATTCCCCAAAAAGGTACAGTTTACGAAATTCATACATGGTGTTCTTGGTGGCTGGCACTTTGCTAAAAGGGGAGTAAAATCCTACTCACTCACGTAGAGGTAATCAGACGTACCTGTAGGACAAACTCAGGTGGAATAGCGTTGTCATCCCTCTTGTACCAGGTGTCTAACAAGGAAACGTCCAGACCCCGGCGTGACGCTGCTGATCGCAGCATCTCAAACTCTGGACACAGCACCTCCGTGGGTAATGGCCGAAAACCATACCTTTCACCTAGTATACTCTGGAGACAAGTGACATACATAAACATCAGATTACGTTTTGATTATTTGTTATTTAACACCATACACAGCAACATTCCAACAATACAGTGCCCTAGACAAACAACTGATTGATATTATGAACAATGTCCAGTCTGAGTGAGTGAGTGAGTTTAGTTTTACGCCGCACTCAGCAATATTCCAGCTATATGACGGCGGTCTGTAAATAATCGAGTCTGGACCAGACAATCCAGTGATCAACAGCATAAGCATCGATCTGCGATTTGGGAACCGATTACATGTGCCAACCAAGTCAGCAAGCCTGACCACCCGACCCCGTTAGTCACCTCTTACGACAAGTATGGGTTACTGAAGATCAATATTCTAAACCAGACCTTCACGGTATGTCCAGTCTGAGCATGATGACATGGAATCAACTAACTTTCGGATCCTGACCACCCAATCTGTTTAGTCATCTTGTATGAGGATACAGGGGAGATACGGATATATATAAGCTGAAGTTGTTGACAGAATAAAGAGTTACATTACAAAGCCTTACATCTTTCTTCATTGATCATTTCACTCTATATATATGAGAGTGTGTATTTTAAATGTTTAGCTTGTAGATTTGTCTTAATCTGCATTTCAAAGGCCAATTTCAGGACATTAATTGTCCAATATGTACAATGTTTGAAGTCCCTTTAAAATGTCCCCCTGTGTAATATTGATAGCCTTGGAAATACATGTATATGTATAAGGCAGCCATTGTCTTTAAATCAAAATAACATGAACACATTTCGCATTACATTAAATTGATTATTGTTAGAAATGTCATAGAATGATAAAGACATTATAATTCCATGTATTTGTGCATCATAAATATCACACAACAGGAAATAAACATCATATTTTAATCTTAGCTTTTTTGTTGTCTCCCCCTTTATTACATTTTGAAAGCAATGACTTACAATGAAGTTGGGTCCAAGTGAGACATTCTGACAGTTCTTCACTTCCTGCAGACACAGGCGCTCAGCTGAGTGATCATTTTGTGTATCCTCAGTCAGGCCCCACCGAAGGTCAACCAACTGAAGGTCAAGGTCAAGGTTTGAGCAGAATGACCTCAGTATGGGTGACACATCACGTGACAGGGCATTACGTTCAGCTCGCATATCTACAACAGCAGGAATTAAATGGTGATATGATGCCAATGTCTCAACAGCAATAACTTGCTGGACAGTAGGTTCAACATATTAATTTCACGGTAATATTTATGGTCAAAATAAAGATTGAAAGGCAACATATATAATGATTTAAATGTATTTACAACTATGTCTTATTTCACAAGTGCAAAAAATCTATTGGTTGATTAAACACGAAAGTATGGAGCACTAATAATCTGATGGATATACAGTGGATACGTAAAACACAATTACATAAAAATATCCCAAAACACATTCATGATCCGTAACTTTTTTGGTTCAGTATATGTATTTTCCTATTTATGCTGTCCCCGAGAACCCTGATAAATGTATTTCAATGAGATCACAAAACAAGCTTCGATCTGTGTCTGGCAAGGTTGTAAGACTACATACAGCAATTATCAAGACATTATGATGCTATATTTTAATGACCACAGATAGAGTGGTATACAGCCAATCAGGCACGTTAAAGTGGTTACCTGAGTGGTATACAGCCAATCAGGCACATGTAAGTGGTTACCTGAGTGGTATACAGCCAATCAGGCACGTGTAAGTGGTTACCTGAGTGGTATACAGCCAATCAGGCACATAAAAGTGGTTACCTGAGTGGTATACAGTCAATCAGGCACATGAAAGTGGTTACCTGAGTGGTATACAGCCAATCAGGCACATGTAAGTGGTTACCTGAGTGGTATACAGCCAATCAGGCACATGAAAGTGGTTACCTGAGTGGTATACAGCCAATCAGGCACATGAAAGTGGTCACCTGAGTGGTATACAGCCAATCAGGCACATGAAAGTGGTTACCTGAGTGGTATACAGCCAATCAGGCACATGAAAGTGGTTACCTGAGTGGTATACAGCCAATCAGGCACATGAAAGTGGTCACCTGAGTGGTATACAGCCAATCAGGCACATGAAAGTGGTTACCTGAGTGGTATACAGCCAATCAGGCACATGAAAGTGGTTACCTGAGTGGTATACAGTCAATCAGGCACGTGAAAGTGGTTACCTGAGTGGTATACAGCCAATCAGGGCACAGCCAATCAGGCACATGAAAGTGGTTACCTGAGTGGTATACAGCCAATCAGGCATGTAAGTGTATACAGCCAATCAGGCATGTGCAAGTGGTTACCTGAGTGGTATACAGTCAATCAGGCATGTGAAAGTGGTTACCTGAGTGGTATACAGCCATCCAGGCACGTGAAAGTGGTTACCCACAGGATACCTGACATACGGATGTTAGGTAAAGACAAAAATGCAAATGGAGGTCACTTTTAGGTATGTGATGTTACCTGTAGACATATGACACCTGAAGGTTACCTGTAGAAGTATGACACCTTGAGGTTACCTATAGGTACATGACATTACCTGTAGATGTATGACATGCAGAGGTAACCTGTCAATACCTGAAGATATATGACACCGAGATTCATCTGTAGGTATATACTGAGGGAAACAAATAAGGGAACGCCAGTTCATTGCTGTGTTCTTCTATTTATTTTCACCCAGTGTGCGATATACAGCTTCAGAAGAAACCTTGACAAAAATAAAGGAACACTTGTAGTTTCACATGTTCCCTTATTTGCTCTCGTCAGTATATATGACACACGTAGAGCTCACCTGTAGGTATATGAAGTTACCTGTAAATGTATGACACACAGAGATCACCTGTTAATACCTGTACATATATGACAGATTACCTGAAAACGTGGAGCTGATGAAGATGCGGACGATGGAGCGAGGAAGTGGGGGAAGGTCTGACATGTCCCCTTCTAACATGGCATCAAACTGCTTCTCCAAGGCCTCGTTGTACTGTGGCTTGGGCTGCTTGTCTACACAGAGAAAAATTACAACATTTTAACTTATCATATGAGACTTTATTTTAAACATTGTTGAGGTTGCTTGGGACCAATACTAACCTGTACTACCAACATAATCCTCATTTAATTGTCTCTTATGACTCGTAATTGGGCACAGGAGACCCGTGAAGAACCGGGTTAGAATTGGTCTTCAGTAACCCATGCTTGTCATAAGAGGTGACTAACGGGATCGGGATTGGTTGACACATGTCATCGTATGTATCCCAATGCGTAGGTCGATGCTCACAATATTGATCACTGGATTGTCTGGTCCAGACTTGATTATTTACAGACCGCTGTCATATAGCTGGAAATATTGCTGAATGCGGCGTTAAACAACAACCAATCAGTCTGGAGACACATTGTTCCCTAGGTCCTCACAGGGGGTAATACAAACCAGGGTTCCGTTGTACAAAGCAACCTTAGCACTACGCCAGTCGTAAGTCTATGTTATGGTATGGGAGTTACGATCACCTTATCGCTAAGATCCCTTTGTACAATGACACCCAGATCAGACAGAAGATATTGTAAATACTTGTATGAAATATTTAGAATACCTGTGACAATAAAGAGCAATACTCCAATATCATGAATGCATCCATATTTCAACGACAAGATATTTGATGGTCATAACTGTTATACCATAGGGGCAATGAAGCCAAGGTCATTGGAATATTTTAAGGTAATTATATACACATGAGGACAACAACCTACATTGATTGAATAATTAATTCCCAAATTTCCCAGCATACCATTTGTCCCAGCTGCTTTTGTCCTTGTTTCTTCCTTCGCCTGCTTAGCTGCTGAGCTCCTGGAAGGGAAGTGATAATTATCATTACCGGTACCTATTCTGTCTCGGCAGCAAAAAGTGTTATCACATCTAAGACCAGAATAAGTTATATGTATAGTCTGTGATAGTCAGTGTTAAAGAAAGACATTTACCATCTGTTGAAACCCATCAGCACAGGTCTGATGCTGACCAACATAAATGCCAAATAAAAAAAATGTTGTGGTTCCGATTACACCTCATTAAAATTTAGGGTAGGTAGGTAGGAATATTTTTTTTACATATTTTTTATTAGAAGGAAAGTACAAACTAATAACACATGTATCAATGTGTAATTGTTTATTGAATCAAGCTTTCGGCCATCATATCAACTTTCTCTATCAGAATGACCGATATCTGATGGAGCCGGGAAAAAATAATGGTATCTGAAAGCTTATTTTATTCAGTCTGCTTAAAAAAATAGGGTCGGCACCAGAATTCAAGGGTCGGTCGGGTAATCGGAACCACAAAAAAAAAAATTAGGCCTAATTAGGGTGATCTGGAAACGGAACCCACAAACATATCTCAGTGCGGTCAAGGGACACAACTCTGCATAGTGAATTGCAATTCTTTAGTCAGATGGGTCAATAGAGGCCCCCTACAAGGGTGCAGGGAGGTGGGGTAGCCTAGTGGTTAAAGTGTCTGCTCGTCACACAGAAGACCCGGGTTTGAATCCCCATATGGGCACAATGTGTGAAGCCCATTTCTGGCGTCCCCCGCCATGATATTGCTGGAATATTGCTAAAAGCGGCATAAAACCATACTCACTCACTCACTCACCTTACTAGGGTGCAGAAGAAGGGCTACTTGGAACAGTATTACTGAAGACATTAGCCTGATTTTATGTTAACAATAGATTTGTTTAGTTGTTTTACAGTAAATAGTGTACCACAATAGTGTTCACTGAGCTCACTTGTAAGACAACTGAATGTATACAGATAAAAGGCTACTCACCCTTTCGAATTTCTTGTACCATTTTTTACAGTACTCTTACCCAGAACTGCCATCTGAAATAATTCAAACCCAAAATTTTATTCACAATGTTCCTACAACATGACATAATGTACTCTTATTCTGTAAAACAAGTTATTTATGTAAACCCATAGACATCTGTTACCTGTCAGCCTCCAGAAAACTCCTAGGAGACCCAAAGGTGCTCACTATAGGAAGTAGGATCTTCCTTTATTTCCTGCCATAATCTTACACTTTACAACCATCTAAACAGGTGTATCAGTGTCGATAAGTGAGGTGCAAGCAATCACTCACCTGTCCAGGTGTGTTGTTTGCTATCTGAAACGAGGACACCCTCTTTGCTGGAGGGGCAGATGCTGAAGAGAATCAGATAATACAGGTAAAACAAACATTGATGGAAACTCACTCACTCACTCACTTGCCATCCAGGGCCCCGTTTCACAAAGCTCTCGTAACTTTTCTCGTAGCGTCGTACCTCCTATGTTACAGTATAGGAGGTACGAATGTTACGAGGAAAGTAGAGAAAATCTCGTAACTTTTCTCGTAGCATTCGTACCTCCTATACTGTAACATAGGAGGTACGACGCTACGACAAAAGTTACGAGAACTTAGGCTTACGAGAGCTTTGTGAAACGGGGCCCAGCTATATAGATATCTAGCTTGCAATCTCACTTAGGTTAATTACACTTACATTTCATCTTGGAAGTCTTGAACTGTGACATTGTAAACTGAAAAACACAATAATAAAAATTAAAAGGTGAATCAAATAATATGAGTTAGGCATGTGTTGAAAATAATTAAATCACAAAATACTGTAATGTAACTGTAAAAACTGTGGATGTAAGAAAATTAGACCAAAATTTTATCTCATAATTGTTTTATCTTGACAGAAAAAAACAAAAGCAAATTTCATATGAATACATTCAAATTTCATATAAATTCATTTTTCATATGAATACACTTAATGTACACTGATGCCTTAATTTGAACAGCCTTTTTTAACGAATAAATAGGCATGGTACACCTAAAAACTATGAAATGCCTCACAACCTTTTAAAATTCGTAAGCGAATGTATGACATAAACAATACATTGAGATTTATTTCAATTTACAAATGTACATTTTTCATCCATCAGTTAGAAGCATGGAAACTCGATCTATAACTTGCAACGTCCAGATTTCTGCCTATTTATAGCAGAACTTTTAGAGGTCTGGAGTACAGTGCGTAAGGCTTTTCCGGATCACGGGTATTCTGGATCACTGCCACGTACATTAACACCTAGAAACTGTAAACCTCGGTGGATTTCTACACACAATGTGTCATTTCAAAGTTGTGACAGTATTCTTCAAGGTGATATATTTTTTTCACGTGATCTGAACCGGAAGACTACTTGCGCTCCCTGTAACGGGGATACCTATCATCGTGGTCACCTGTCGTTAGCATCTTGCTAAATGTTAACAATCCATTGCATACAGAAACATTTCACCTATAAATAGCAACAAAATCTGTTTTACATCTGCCATATTTTTTAAGAAATAAGCAATTTGTGGGACCACGTGGTTAAGTCAGTTCCGGATCACCAGAATACAGAGAGTAGACACTTTGATAATATGACAGATACATGAGGATACACTCACACAGACAGTTCAAACCACTCTTAATTAGCATATATTATTATTAACTTGAGTTAACAATGAGATCTAATTTTTTATGTTCCTTATTTGCTTTCATTAATTTTGTTAACTAACATGTACATCTGTATCCAGTGATTGATGGTGTGAGGAGTTTTACATGACTCAAAATGACTGAATAAAGAGTTCCCCCAAAAATGGATTATTTTGTCTTGATAGTTATAATTTACAAGATGAAGTTGCATGTCAGTGACACGTCAATATGTTAAAATAGTACAGACTCACAACAGATCATCGTATAGCGAATTTCACCTAAATCATCAGCAACAAACAGCACGGCCTTGTAGTATCATTTAACTTCTGAATGTGATTTAATTTCGATACATAAGTGATCAGCACCTTAAACCGCTTATGTACAATACAACCAGAAATTATTGAGAATTTAAGATTGTAATTTTTTATATTTTTTTCACTCATTACTCACATATTAAATGTGAATATTAGCAGAACATAACTCCAGATTCAAAGACAGGTGAACAGTTAGTATTTTGTCAAGTCACCATGGGCAGCAATGCAGGCTTCAATGCGGCGGGGCATACTACTGATCAAAGAAGTTAGAAAGTCGTGGTCCATGCTGTCCCAATATCGGACCACCTCTTCTTTCATTTCAGCAATATTTGTCAGATTTTTCTTATTGACACTTTCCTTCATAAGTCCCCAAACATTTTCCATTGGATTTAGGTCAGGGCTATAGCTTGGCCAATCTAATAATGTCATATTTTGGGTCCGAAACCAGGCCTGTGAATGCTTTGAACGATGTTTTGGGTCGTTGTCCTGCTGGAAAATCCAAAAATTTCCATAGAACACGTGAGCAGATGGAAGTAAATGTCCCTCGAGAATATCTGTGTACCGCTCACTGTTCATATTGCCTTCAAATACACAGAGGGGTGTTGCCCCTAACACAGATATGCCACCCCACACGTTAAATTTCAGACTGTACTTTGGGTGCTGATACAAAGGTTGTTCAGTTTGTTTGGTCCAGAATTTCAGTGCATTAGGAAACAGCCACACAGAACTTTCATCTGAGAAAATCACATTGTCCCAGTTAAAATTTCTATGCTGTAAGCACCAGTTCAACCTTCACTCCTTTTGATCAGGTTTCATGATTGGTGATGGAATTCCTACTTTTCCGCCAACCCATTGCATGCAGATCAGTTCTAATTGTCTCCTTACAGACAGCCACAGTTCCTCTATCAATCATATCCAGCCTTAAGTTTTCTAAACTCCTTCGTTTGTTTTAGAAACAAGAATACCAAGCCGCCTCCTGTCACCGACAGTCAATTTTCTGGGCCTACCTGAGCCTCCCTGGTGCTCAATGCCATATCCATTTGCAATATTTTTCAAAACACGATAAACAGTGGACAAAGGGATGCCTGTTCTATTTGAAATCACTTTAGCTGATCTGATGTCCTTGTTATAATACTCTAAAATCAACTTCCTCTTCTCTAAATCATCCATACTGAGGATCACTGAAAATGTCGTCTGCTAGCAAGTAAACAAAGGGGGATAACTCTTCACAAACTAATGAAAAAGGATTAACGGAGTTGTCTCTCTTGAATGAAACCAAGCACTTGATAGCTGGTCAAGGTTGTTTATACTAGAAATCCAATTAAACATATTCCTAAAATTCTCAATAATTTCTGGTCATACTATATAAACCCCAAGAGAATATTTTTCAGTTCAAGTTGGTACCTGGAATCCTGATACAGGAATATGTGTGTGTTGTAATGAGCAGCAAGTGTTAAAACGATCTACATAGGTGCTGTTATCAACTGCAATGTTTGTTATTGGTAATCGAGACATCATAAAAAATAGTTTTCACGCATCTGTTCTATTAAACACGTGTTACTGTTTGACACATCCCCTTGTTGCCCCAAACGTGCATTAGTAACCTCACACTGCCTTGTTTTTTCACGTGATCCGGAATACCCGGAAATGATTCGTGGAGCGTTTCTTTTGTCAGTTTTCTATAATACATCAGCATCGTATCGAATTGGTATTTTGGTGTGAGTAACATGAAACTTTGCTAAGACAAAATTTGCCCTTAGGCGCTTGAGACATCTTTTCGCGTAGGCGCATGCAGTCGTTGTTTCGTTAGTGATCCGGAACTGCCTTACGCATATGAAGTATAATATATTGCAAAATGGTTCATTTCACTGTGAACTGTGCGTGCAAAACCTCATCGCTAGACATCTGCACAAAGGTAAGCAAATAATAAGTATATATACTCGAATGAATACAGACCAATTTATAATGAACTCAAACAATTTTGGACACTTACCCCTGGTACAAGAGTGTCACTCGCTGACTCGCAAAATCTGTCAATCAACCAAGCACATATTGGCAATCAAGACTTGCGACAGGTGCCCGAGTGATCAGCTGATGATAGTATCAAGCAAATATCTCAACTAATATTCCAAGAGTTTTTAACCAGTTCTGGCTTCTATTTCCTCAACAAATTATATATGCAGATGCTATCTCTTCGACGCGCTGTGCGTGTCCGTCTAATCGCTTTTATGTTGTCATGGTAATGTATAAACATTATCGCTGTCTTTTCTAAGGGAGGCAACTCTTGGGTGTGACAACTTGCGATCGCTTTGATTTAGCTGTACAGGTGTGATGTTTATAAGGAGTAACGCCTTGAACATGCTTTGTGTTGTTTTATTTTAACATATTACAATGTCACAACCAAAGTGCAAGTGTTCCAAGAAAATATGTGATTGCATTAGTTTGTTTGGGAGTGCGTTGAATGCTGTTTTATGTCGTTCTATGTCATGAAAGCGCTAGCCCACAGGGGTTCGAATCACTGTTTGGACAATAATTTTTAAAATAAAAATCTAAATTTTGCAATCGTATATTGTTTTTATATGTTATGATTAACCTATATTTCAAATACATGTGTATTTTATGTAATGAGTGTAGCGGTGGAATTTTCTTTAAAATTCATTTCTTCACCGATCTCGTTCAAATTTGAAATATTGGTTAATCATAACATATAAAAACAATATACGATTACAAAAGTCTAGATTTTTATTTTTTTTAAATATTGTCCAAACAGTGATTCAAACCCCTGTGGTTTCAACTATCCCCTAATTCGTAAGAAGTGACGATAATGGCAGCAGCGATGACTGTATTCCAGCACTGATGCTGGTAAATAATAAAGTCTGGAAATAAGTAGAATTTTATTATACGGATTATTCTCATTAATATCTCCCTTATTGACCTCCCGTCAATTATTTTGCTTTGTTCACTGGCATATTTTCCAAAGTATGCTTTTATTCACTATTGTAGTACATTCCTGAATTATTGTGAATAAGCGCATGTATCCATGACTCAGATAAAATTATTCAACACTTGTGAAGATGGATCTCTTGAATATCATCTGAATAATGAGCAAGAAAAGGACTTTATTATTTTATTCTTAAATAAATTTATCATACTGTTTTTTTCTTGACCGATGCATGCATTCATTATATTTATTGTTCTCAATATATTAAACAAAGTACTATCCGTGAATATATATGAAACTTTGCATACTTTTGCATAATTATTATGATGTGGTGGCATTATATTCTTAGAATTAACACTTAAAGCTCAATGATGGATTACTTGATGTGACTGTCAATGAGGGTTTGTCAGATCCTGATGCAGAATGGTATCCCATGAGAGTAACACCTTAGATGTTAATGTTATTTTAATTATGTATAATTTTCAAACTCTGTGTGTTCATTACTATCAAGCCAAACTGGCAGGTTAGTGCAATTCAGGAAGGTCATATTGTTTTAGATTTAAGGCCTCCAAACTGTTCAACAACCCTACTGCTCGGATAACTTTGAAAGAAATAATAAAAAAACATACATATATATATATGCATGTGAATATATTTCTGTTTGTTTATACTGAGTAAATGGGTGGGTTAGGTGTAACGCAAACGTGAACACTGTTCCATTTATATCAGAGGTAGTTGTGTCGAAAAATATATGCAAGTGGTGATAAGTCTAGAAACGTTAAGCACATTGGCAGCGATTAAACACCACCTGGTTCAAAATGCATTTCCGAAAAATGATAAACCCTGATCTGCAACCAACTGAACACCTTTGAGGATTACCTTGTTTCCCAAGTGAGAACTAAACCTTCCTCTTCAAATCCTGGAGGGATAGCCTAGTGATTAAAGCGTTCGCTTGTCTTTCCGAAGACCCGAGGTTCGATTTCCCAATGGGTACAATGTATGGAGCCCATTGCGGGTCTCCCACATTGTGATATTGCTGGAACATTGCTGGAATGTTGCTAAATAATGTAAAATGACATTCACTCAAACCCTGGATGAACTTATCCACATGCTGCACCAGGACTGACTGAGTATAGTTTTACGCTGTTTTTAAGCAATATTCCAGCAATATCACGGCGGGGGACACCAGAAATGGGCTTCACAAATTGTACCAATGTTGGGAATCGAACCCGAGTCTTCCACATGAAGAGCGAACGCTTTAACCACTAGGCTACCCCACCGCCCCGCTGCACCAGGAATCGGATCCCAATGATGAATATCAGAAGTCTCAGGAGATGCCACAAAAATGTCACCCATGACAGGAGCATACACCAGGTACTGATTAAAGTGTCAGTGGTGATTCCAGGGTTAACAGCTGACTGCCAATTGTCGTATAGGCTGGATGCTTATACATTCAGCCTTTTGTAGACGTCTTTGCTGAATGCCAAATTGGTACTGATTATTTGTGTAACCTTGACAACCTGATTGTACTGTGGCAATCTGTTTGTAAGTTTACTATTCCTATGTCGTGTTCCCAACAATGAATCCATACTGTCATTGTTAAAAGTAACACATGTCCAAAGGGACACATGCCATGTGTTCACGGACATTGGGTCAGTGAGTAAGTTGGGTTTAATATCGCTTATAACTCATTTCCAGTTATATCAAACGGGTGTCAGCTTAATATGGGAGAAAAGGTCAACATGATCCAGGATTCGAACATCTTATCACTTTGGAAAAACCCACATGCATGGCATGGCACTAACAAACCTAGAAAGCAAGCATGGTGCCCTTACCACTTTGGTGAAACCTCCAAGCATGGCACCCTTACCACTTTGGTGAAACCTCCAAGCATGGCACCCTTACCACTTTGGTGAAACCCCCAAGCATGGCACCCTTACCACTTTGGTGAAACCCCAAGCATGGCACCCTTACCACTTTGGTGAAACCCCCAAGCATGGCACCCTTACCATTTTGGTGAAACCCCCAAGCATGGTGCCCTTACCACTTTGGTAAAATCTCCAAGCATGTCGCCCTGACCCCTTTGGTGAAACCCCCAAGCATGGTGCCCTTACCACTTTGGTGAAACCTCCAAGCATGGCGCCCTTACCACTTTGGTGAAACCTCCAAGCATGGCCCTTACCACTTTGGTGAAACCCCAAGCATGGCCCCCCCTTACCATTTTGGTGAAACCTCCAAGCATGGCCCTTACCACTTTGGTGAAACCCCAAGCATGGCCCCTTACCATTTTGGTGAAACCCAATGCATGGCACCCTTACCACTTTGGTGAAACCCCCAAGGATGGCGCCCTTACCACTTTGGTGAAACCCCCAAGCGTGGTGCCCTTACCACTTAGGTGAAACCCCAAGCATGGTGCCCTTACCACTTTGGTGAAACCCCAGCGTGGTGCCCTTGTCACTTTGGTGAAACCCCAAGCATGGCACCCTTACCACTTTGGTGAAACCTCCAAGCATGGCACCCTTACCACTTTGGTGAAACCTCGAAGCATGGCACCCTTACCACTTTGGTGAAACCCCCAAGCATGGCACCCTTACCATTTTGGTGAAACCCCCAAGCATGGTGCCCTTACCACTTTGGTAAAATCTCCAAGCATGTCGCCCTGACCCCTTTGGTGAAACCCCCAAGCATGGTGCCCTTACCACTTTGGTGAAACCTCCAAGCATGGCGCCCTTACCACTTTGGTGAAACCTCCAAGCATGGCGCCCTTACCACTTTGGTGAAACCCCCAAGCATGGCCCTTACCATTTTGGTGAAACCTCCAAGCATGGCGCCCTTACCACTTTGGTGAAACCCCCAAGCATGGCCCCCTTACCATTTTGGTGAAACCCAATGCATGGCACCCTTACCACTTTGGTGAAACCCCCAAGGATGGCGCCCTTACCACTTTGGTGAAACCCCCAAGCGTGGTGCCCTTACCACTTAGGTGAAACCCCAAGCATGGTGCCCTTACCACTTTGGTGAAATCCCCAAGCGTGGTGCCCTTGTCACTTTGGTGAAACCCCAAGCATGGCACCCTTACCACTTTGGTGCTTGTCATAATAAAAAACAACCAACACAGGTAATCACTTGGAAGTTTATTTCCATATGGGAATACAGAATAGCATGTTAAGAGATACAGACACCTTGACAGTGAATCTTCAACATCCCATCGGAACAAGCTCAGTAACATAGCAAAATGTAAATGTAAAAAATAGGTAAAGTTTGTATTGAGCATTATATGTCAATATACACAGATGAGAAAGTACAAATGTGCGACAACACCAAATTGGAAAATGGCTGATCCAAAACCAAATGTAACATAACATCCAGTATCACTGGACACTAACTGTGTTTAAGCAACCATTAGCCTGCAAATATTTCCACAGTAACTCATGAAACAAGCTGTCTGAAAACCACACTAAATAACTCAAGTACTTAACAATACTACATTGGGGCCAAGGTGGTTCCTCTGCTTGCCCAAATGCTGCATTGCCATGAAGGTCTGGTAAATTCTCCACAACAGGCTCGGTCATCCAAAATGGCTTCTCTAGTTACTACAAAAGTCCAAATCATCAAACCAAACAGGAGTTTACAAATCTGAATACAAACACATCCACTGATCGTAACTTCACAGCATCCTCGATATTCAAAGGTATCATACCGCCATTCCTTTCTGATTAACACCCTTGATCCATTCACCACCAAAGCTTTGTATTTATCAGGGATGAGAATTTTCCACAGAATTCAGCGGATTTGATCGTGCTGGGGTCATTCTTACAAATCGTCTAAACCTGCAGCCACCAAGACCCCCGGCTCATTTTCCTCTTTTCATCACTCATACCCACCCTCAGCTCCATCCTCATCCCCGATTTATACAGTTCAAATGACAAAACTCAAGTCCAACAATTCGCGCTTAGTACACGTTTGAAACAAGGACACATTGCCAGTACTCAGCGTAACCTTACTTGCCATCTCAATTACAACCAGATTGAATATGAGGTTTTGAAATGTAGGAGTGGCATTTTGATTGGCTGTTGATTTCAAAGACAGAGCTGTTTGTGATAGGAAAGTGGAGATGGATTCACTTCCCAAGCAAAGCCAAACCAGCAGCTGGGTCAAGGGTATATAACTTTACAGAATAGTTACACAACACGCTGCCTTATCAAGGATGCTTCCCCAAATATTACCCATTGTTTTTATGATATCTAAATCCTATTATGCTGCCCCTTATTTCTGGACATACTTTGAGCCAGTTGGCTTCTTACAACACAAATATTCCTTACGGATATGATACCAAACCTGACAGGTCTAACTGAAAGCAGACCCTTGGAATTCTAATACGGTTTGCAAAAATATACCACACAACTTCTGCTGATTATTTTTCGCTTCCTGAAATGATGGTTTTGAAATGTTGTCATGCTAATCAGTATCCGATATTGCTGCGGATCTGACATTTCAGGCTACGCCATTTATAGTATACATATCCACACAGTCCCTGGTTTCACAACAGCAATGGAATAGGATTTTTTATACATCCCTTTCGAAGTTGGGTAGTATAATATTATGTTTTATACAGATGTATTCAGATTTGCATAAAATCATTCTAACAGCAACCTAGAAACACCTTCACACGCTACAAACTACAGCTAAAAAACTAAAACAGAAACGTCTACACACTATGCACAGAGAATCGAACAATAAACAAAATCTTGCTTTAGAGTCATTTTCTCTGAAAATTTCATTTACTGCAAGATTCATATCAATTCTAAATGCCCATTATAGAAAATACTATGCACAAGCATATTAGGTTTTCACAATACAAAACATTTGTCAAAAAAATTCATTATGTCAAAGTTAAATGAACCTGAAAAAATGTTTAAATAATCACAACGACTTAATTTAAACTCTTTTTCAGCTTCATCATTATGACAAAACCACCAAAGACATTTAAAGAAATTAATTCAAATCATTCCTAATATCACAAATTACAAAACTTTTGATCAATTGATACCTTCACCATGAAATGTGACCAGTTATTTCCAGAATATCATTTTTCCAATTAAAAATATTTAACTCCATAAACATATTGAAGTCCTTCACCATTACATCGGCTGTCAAACCACACATCAATGTATCCAAAACCAGACATAGTAAATGAACAAGGCAAAGTTTCAGAACAAATTACCAAATATTTTTCTCAAAAAAGTGAAGAATTCTTTATTCTTTCATGCTACTATGATACATGTCACACAGTAATATGAAAGGAATGGAATTTCCTTAACTTTTTTCAAGTAGAATATTTAAACAACATAACCACTTTCAAATTTATCAAATATTGGATGCTTTTCGAAACAACCAAAAATACAAAGAAAGAGAAACATTTACAAAGCCAAATTTAACATTTGAATATGTTCAATGTTTTTACTTTTTTCATTTTTCTTAACTCTTCACTTCCACCATTCGCCTCCTCGCCCTCCACTTCAAGCTTCAAACCATCAGACCATAATCCACAGAAGAATGAGGACAATTTTCAAGGATATACAACTTCTTTATTCTGTATAGGCGACATTTTGACACAGATTCTAATGTCGCTGTCACTTGCTTGACGACATTAGAATCTATCTCGAAACATCGCCTATACAGAATAAGAAGTTGTATATCCATAAAAATTGTCCTCATTCTTCATCTCCTCAAATTCTAGAATGCCAATCAAAGAAGTCATAATCCACAGATTTAACTACAGTGGAGATACATAGACTACGTGTGTCACAACAAGCAGACCAACAAAGACAATTCAGTACTCCAAACTACACAATAATGGCTACGCTATTGAAATCTCAACCCGATCCATTAATGCTTTTTGTGTACAAAATTGACAAAATGTGTTGTGCTCTTCTCCACTTACGTCTCCATCAGCCGTCCAGGTCATCAAGTACCTGGGTCATTGTATCTAAGCATTTGCTGTCAACACCAACCAGGCGTACATACTTAGATAACCCACAAGAGTTAAATAAGCAGTCCACGCTTTACTACATGATGTTAGGATCTTATATCAGAGTTGGTATGGGTGCAGTATTTTTAACCAAGCCAGATTTTATCCCATTCACACTTTCCTCATGTCTTGTTTATAAAAACAGATTCAATATCTGTCACAGTTTCTAAGTCTGTTAGTTAACACTAGCCATACCTCTCTCAATCATGACATTCATTTTGAAGTTTTACAGAGAGTTCTGAAGACTTCACACATCACTTCCCAATAATTGTTGGAACATGCATGGGTTGGTTCCTGACTGTGCATAATGTACAGTTATGACTGTTTCTACTTCGATGCACTATTTATAGCTGATAACTGTGCAGGAGGTGCCCTTTTGTGCAATACCAACATCAACAAACTGTGCTATTAATTATACACAGTGTACATGCAAATGTACATCTTACACCTTCAACCTTCGTCTCAACAAACTCCATCAATGCTGATGGCACTGCTCGTCCTTCACCAAAATATGACCACAAAAGTGCTACAGAGGCTTCAGTCTCCATCCCAACAAAAGTCAGATCCGGCAGGTCTTTGGACAGCTGACAATACAAAAATGTCCAAAACCGCCATTAACACCACAGTAGATTCAAAACACCACAAGCATGTATTACCAAACACTAGTCCACTAGCCTCAGATTTGTGACAAATTGTAAGCGTTTGCTACCAATCAGTCATAAGACTTCAGAGCAACTTCCTGATACAAACAAACTCTGGCCTTGTTGAACATGTGTGTCAAGCAATTGTCAACAATCAAGTGGACTCAGTTTGAACACTCCTAAACCAGTTTAAGCTTCAACTGAACCGTACCGACCCATCTACCCCAGACAAATGTCAACCATATGGCCAGTGGACCGGTCGCCTTCTGTAGTGTTAAAACCCAACCTCCAGTAAACACTTCTCTAGAACACTGCTAGTCCATCGTGTCACCCAGTGTTCATCAGTTAATAGTGTCAACCACTCATCCAGTGGAACAGTCGCCTTCTGTAGTGTTAAAACCCAACCTCCAGTAAACACTTCTCTAGAACACTGCTAGTCCATTGTGTCACCAAGTGTTCATCAGTTAATTGTGTCAACCACTCATCCAGTGGATGGTCGCCTTCTGTAGTGCTAAAACCCAACCTCCAGTACACACTTCTCTAGAACATTGATAGTCCACCATCTCAACTCGCTATCAATCAATACATCTCCTTTACATTTCATACTGTTATGACATATCCAATCTAATTTTTTAATGATGTTAGCAATACATCTTGATGCTTCTCAAGCACCTATGATATCTGATTATTTGTTAACTAACATGGGATCAATTAAACAAAATCACATATCTTAATATCAGTTCATATGTAATATCATATCGCTGTAAATATTGCAAAAATGAAACATCAAATGTTCAAAACACAATATATTTATCTCTTAGAATTTTTATACATTTTTAATTTGTTCAACTTTTTCAGCAAAATCAAATTACATCTGAGAGTAGTTTTCTCTTCAGAGCACATTAATGAAATATTTTCAGAAAACTACGAACAGTATAAAATCACATACATGTCACACAAACGCACCTTACAGACAACAATGCACATGATGAACAATGACTTAAGACAGTCAAGTAACAATTGCAAATATACTCCAGAAAAAATTTGTGCGCTAAAAGTAACAAAATAGCAGAAAGGCAATGTAAGCAACAAGTAAAGCTGTCAAAACATCAAGGTATCCATAAGCTGCTAGTACCCATAAATGTCATCCCTTAAAAGAGTTCATGCCCCTTTCGTCCATTACTGGTCATTCTAGCACGACATTGTGTGATACTCGATTTTTAAATTACATTTAGCTGTCTTAAATCAAAGATAAAGGACCGCAAAATTGAAAACAGAGTAGCTTTATCTTCTAAATACGGATGATGGGGTCAATATCGGGACAGGTACATTTCTTCAACGTTCTGTGTTCAAGATTAACCAACATCAGTGCACAGAAACCATACTTGTGTATTTTTAAACACTTCTGTGTCATCCTTTTTGCTCACGTTTAACCAACATCAGTGCACAGAAACTACTTGTGCAATTTTTAACACTCATCCTTTTTGTCAAGCAAATGTGCTTCTCAATCAACACAAGGGTACTGGAGTCCATTTGTGTCGTACCTGCACCGACAGCCACCCCGACAGCATCAATAACATATTCAAGTACCTGAATAACAACTAAATGTACTGGCTGCGTCAGAATCACAGATGGTGTCAGGATTAACTAAATCAGAACTTGCAGACATGAGAATGTTGAGTAAAGTCATAAAACGTAATAAAACATCAGATTTTGATCTGAAAAACAAAGGACAAGAAGCACAACCTCTTTCTGTGAATCCACTGAACACATCTGCCAAGTGAAGCCATGATTATGGTCAACAGAGCCAGGAATATCTGAGAGAGACAATTTGTTCCAAGTATAAACAATATCCTGCAGTAAACTGACTGACTGACTGACTGAGTTTGGTTTTACGCCGCTTTTAGCAATATTCCAGCAACATCACAGCAGGGGGCTTCACACATTGTGCCCATGTGGGGATTCAAACCTGGGTCTTCGGCGTGACGAGCCAACGCTTTAACCACTAGGCTACCCCACCGACCCCCTGCAGTAAACAAACAAACTCCTGCAAAGTGGATAAACTCATGAAACAGTTAGTAGCGTTCACTGAAAACAGTTATACGTCAGGGAAACTTAATATCCACAAAATGTACAGCAATCACATATTTATTAAATTTGGGCATCTATAGAAACATGCTATGAAAAGTTTTAAAGAAATACAATAAGTATCACTCAAAATATAATTTTGACATTTTAATGCAAAGCAATTCTACCTTGAAGTTTACGGGAACAAATTCATAAAATGTTAAAATTGCTACAGATTAAAAGGTAGCATTATGAAAATTGTCTATTTTCTTGGCGATATTATTATTGGCACCCAATTTGACAAACAGGTGAAATTATGCACCTCTTTAGATCTAAATCTAAGGCCATTGCTAATTAGAAACACATTAATTAACATGATACAACATCAAATTATGGAATGGGAGATTTTCATATACAACATTCAATCTTTGGTGACAGGTTCTTTGTCTTTATAAAAGTAAGTAATCTTGGTTTGAAAATGACATTTGGACTAAAACAAATCTCCCTGAAATTTGAAACTGGAAAATTTCAAAATATTCAGATCACTCAAACTAACATTCATTATGAATTATCTCTGTTTGAACTTATCAAAGAAAAAGCAGTGGCTTGTTGAGAATAAATTTTAACTTTAGTTTTTGAATTCTGAAATTTGTCAATCAATGCATCAAATGCAAAATATATGAAAACTGCATAAACATACGTGACAATACTTTAACTAAAATACATTTCAGTGTCAGTAAGCATAACTGAAGATATATTAATCCACTGCACAAACAAGCATTAAAGTAAAAGCTATGTGCTTTGGCGGCATGTGAACGTCTCAGTGAAAACAGGTTTGAATTACAGATTTCAACATCTGTATTCTCTCAATGAACTTTGCTTTGAGTCACTTTATCAAGCAACTGTTTTCACTTCCTGAATTAAGGTACTAGCTCCAGTACCTAATTTCTACATGGAAAAATGAAAACACGGAACTCTGTAAGTCAATCCTGCCTCCACAGTAAATGAACCACATGCTAACAACGTGCTGAACACATATAACAGCTCCAAAGTTGTTTAAACATATAGAAAGTCTATGTACACTATTTACACTACGAATCATTTAGCTTGATCCATATCAATGAACAGTTTTGGAAGACAGTTACGAGATTCCTTTATCAACCAACATTCTCCCATCGATAAGCCATTTATCAGCCAGAATACTATATTTGACTTTATTTTTCAGTTGTCAAAACAGTTAAAAAATATTTTGAAAGTTATTATGACATACCGTAATACATTCATATATTCTGTTGCTAAGCAACAGTTTGGAGTATGATAAATCTGCAAAAACAGTGTATGATACAGCTGAACTCTAACAGTAAAAGTGTCCAACTAACTGAACAAACAACCTATGGCACGATTATAGTAATTATGTCGACATGGAATCAAGTCTTCAGCACATCAACAGACTTTTCAAAATTTCACTCAACATATTAACAGGTTAATAATCCAACTGTGTGAACATCCATTGAGGACGTTTTGTCACAATACCTCTTCAGCATCTCTGCCGTGATGCAAGTCTTGTGTTCTCTCATCTCAAAGGACACATACATGAAACCCCAAGTATGTTCTCAGCATACATTTTGCATTTCATCAAGGTTTCAGTATTTCAGCAATGTTTCAGCATACACTGCTGAGATCTTCACAGTTAACTGTCAAACATAAATCCGTTAAGGTCCGTAGCTCACCTTCCTTATCATAGCACCAATATCCTGAAAGTGCCACGTCACCATCAAGCATAACACACGTGTTGGACCAGGAAAACCAGGCTTATATATCTCTTAAATTTGTCAGTCTGGCTGTTTATCATCGAAGCCTGTGCTGGCTTGTGATATTTATCGATACATTTAATGTCCGAATTATCCAACATCACCTTAGTATCAGTCACAATTGCACATTCAGGGTAAGTCAGTTTACATGTAATACTACTGGCTTTACATGTGATGTCACATTCTTCAACAAGTGTCTATCGTCAGCACTGAACTGACAAGGCAACGATTAGTCCTTCAATCTACGTAGGAAACCTGCAAGCTTAGGGCAAGATGACTGCATCAACAAGTGTCTATCGTCAGCACTGAACTGACAAGGCAACTATTAGCCATCCAATATGTCTGAAACCAGATTTGAACTGACATGGCAACGATTAGCCCTTCAATTTGTCTGAAACCTGCACGTTTAGTACAATATGTTTCAATCAACAAGTTTCTATTGTCGGCACTCAAATGACGTGGTAACGATTACCCCTTGAGTCAATGTCTGAAACTTCCAGGGTCAGTTCAGCATGACTGCATCAAGTGTCTATCTTCAGCACTGTAATATTCCGCTTAATAAACATTGCAGTCACACGTCTCAAAACATCAAAGAAGTCCTCTTCAACAAGTCTCTTCAACCTGTAACATCTTCATGATTAACACTGCGACCAAAAGCACTGAGATGATTCCATTTCTGAAATTATAGTCTTGTGGTTCCAGTCTTTCATACAATTGTTGTATCTATGACGACAGGACAAATACTGACACGTACTGGATAATTGTATTATAGCAAGAGCAGACTACATGGGTAGAACTACTCCCACGTACTGAGATCAAATTGTGATGTGTCGCACGGTCCTGTCTCAGCAGCCTCCGAGGGTCCCTACTCCTCCATCTCGCCGTAACACTCCTCGGACATCTCGTAGTACTTGGTAGCCAGACGGCCTTTCATGGCCGCCATTGCTTCGTCTGCAGCCTCGTTGTACAACTCCGCTGGTGACAGAAAACAGGAACCATTTTAATACCAGATAATCTGTTAATTCTTAGGTATCCTGGCAACATATCAACAAATGTACTCCACTACAAACTTCACTTTGTACAGTGAGTGAGTATGGAGTTTCGCCGCTTTTAGCAATATTCCAGCAATATCAGGGCGGGGACACCAGAAATGGGCTTCATACATGTGAGTACTCGAACAAATGTACTCCACCACAAACTTCACTCGTGTGAAGCCTATTTCTGGTGTCCCCCGGCGTGATATTGCTGGAATAATGCTAAAAGTGGCCTAAAACTAAACTCACTCACAAACTTCACTTTGTACACATGTATGTGGATGGGTGAGTGAGTGAGTGAGGAAGGAAGGGAGTATTTTATGCCACTTTCAGCAATATTCCAGCAACATCACTACAGATGGACACCAGAGATGGGCTTCACACACTGTACCCATGTTGGGACTCAATCCCAGGTCTTGTCCAGATGAGCTAACACTTCAACCATTAGACAGACCACCCAACCAACCTGAATGTAAGTAAAACAAGAAGACAAAGTCATCAATATCCCCAAAATACTCTTCATGATTATGTCTACGAGTTATGATTATGTCAAATATTTAGGTGTGTATATAGAAAAGTGGAAGGAGAGTATTGAAAGGTTTTTAAAGTTCTGCTCCAGAAAGGAGCACTATCACCAATTTCAGTCTATGTCAAACTTGTTGCCATGGAAATGCCAAAAATATTTTATTCAGAAATCCAAAACTACCAAAAGGCACCAGTACACCACCAGATCTATCTATGTGCCAAGTTTAGTGAAGAAATAGTGAACGGTTTTAGAGTTCTGCTCCGGAAAAGAGCACTACCACCAATTTCAGTCTAAGTCAAAATTGTTGCCATGGAAATGCCAAAAATATTTTATTCAGAATACCAAAACTACCAAAAGGCACCAGTACACCACCAGATCTATCTATGTGCCAAGTTTGGTGAAGAAATAGTGAACGGTTTTAGAGTTCTGCTCGAAAAGACAAAAGTGCATGGACGGACGGATCCGGACCGAGTCCATTTAATACCCTAAAAGCGGCGTTATGGGGATAATGACAAAATGTTAACATAGCTTTGAACAGCAGGTCAGTTACTGGAGTAACGGGTGAACCATTCTGACATCAAAGAAATCTATAGGGTACTGAAGATAAAACATTGGAGAAAAAAGTTTGGACCACACAATCCAGTGATTGACATCAGGGGCATCGATCTATGGAACTGGAGATGATGACATGCATAAACCCAGTCAGCGAGTCTGATCACCCAATCCCATCAATGGCCTCGTGTGACAAGATGGGTTACTGAAGACCAATTCTACCCCCGGATCTTCACTGGGAACCTGTTGTCATAATATCACCTTCTACTCTTATTGTAATCACAAATTCCCTTTGCCTCTCATGACACAGTAAAGAGTGAGTGAGAGTATGTTTTACGCGCTGCATTTAGCAATGTTCCAGCAATATCACAACGGGCACAGTTAAGAAGGTTCTATGCTTCTATGTTTCAACCAACAGAACATACACAAAGTATAGATTCACATAGTACAGATTCACAACATCTTTAACACAAGAGTCATCAGAAGATGACATATCCCCACATATTTGAAAGAACAAACCATCTGACTGTTACTTAAAGTCCAGCTTGATGTCTTTTTAGACTAAATCCAAATCATTTCCATGGAAATCATGAAAAATATAAATGCCAAAATTGTGTAAATAGCAAAGGCACCACTTCAAGATCTGACTCATAAATCTGCCAAGTTCTGTTGAAAGATATTAAAGCGGTTTTCAAGTTGTGCTCGAAATGAAACCCACCCCCTTAAGACTAAGTCCAAATTGTTTCCATGGAAACCGGAAAAATAAAATGCCAAAAATCTGCAAATAGCAAAAGGCATTACTTATGGTTCTGTTTGATATATCTACAAAGTTTTGTTGAAAAACATTGAGCGGTTTTTGAGCTATGCTCGGAAAAGAGCACTATCACCAATTTCAGTGCAAGTCAAACTTGTTGCCACGGAAAAGCCAAAAATATTTTATTCAGAATTCCAAAACTACCAAAAGGCACCAGTACACCACCAGATGTATCTATGTGCCAAGTTTGGTGAAGAAATAGTGAACGGTTTTAGAGTTCTGCTCCTGAAAAGAGCACTACCACTAATTTCAGGCTAAGTCAAACTTGTTGCCATGGAAATGCCAAAAATATTTGATTCAGAATTCCAAAACTACCAAAAGGCACCCGTACACCACCAGATCTATCTATGTGCCAAGTTTAGTGAAGAAATAGAGAACGGTTTTAGAGTTCTGCTCCGGAAAAGAGCACTACCACAATTTCAGTCTAAGTCAAACTTGTTGCCACGGAAACGCCAAAAATATTTTATTCAGAATTCCAAAACTACCAAAAGGCACCAGTACACCACCAGATGTATCTATGTGCCAAGTTTGGTGAAGAAACATTGAACGGTTTTAGAGTTCTGCTCCGGAAAAGAAAAAATATTACGCGGACGGACGGATGGACGCGCACGAACGGACAGAGTCCATTTTAATATCCCCCGCAAAACGCGTTGTGGGGGATAAAGATCTGCTAATGGCAAAAGGCATTACTTAAGATTCTGTTTGATATATCTACCAAGTTTTGTTGAAAAATATTGAACAGTTTTTGAGTTATGCTCTGGAAACAAAATGATTACGGATGGATGGACAGACGGACGAGGCGTCGACTATATCCCCCCCGCATTACATGCCGGGGGGGATAACAAGCATAAACAGCCACTACCTGCTCTCTCTGCGTTCTTGTCCAGGCCATGGCCTCCGGTCCGGAGCAATTCGGCCTGCTTGGCCTTTAGGATGTAGACAGGGTCGTCCATGGCAGCATCATACTCTCCACCCTCATCGTGGGTGTCCTGAGAGGCAGCTTCATCGTAGTAGTGAACAGAGTCCTCCCAGGAGATACTCCTGAGCACACAGATTTACATTGAAAAAAAGATTGTCTCTGGAAGAGTTTCCCCCCTTTGAACTTGAAGCCCTACCACCACCCAACCCTACCTTTAATATCTTTGGCACACAGTGTAACATTGAAAACAAAAGATGATAAAGAGTCCCCACCCCCCATCATTGGCACACAGTGTAACATCGAAAACAAATGTAGATTAAAGAGTTACCTCCTAACAACACCCCTTTTTATCATTCTTATTCAGTGGCAAACAGAGTAACATTAAAAACAGATTGTGATTAAAGAGTTACCTCCCTTATATCCTTCTCATGCTATGCAACCATTTGACCAAAAATAACTTCACTATTTCAATTATCACGAATAAACCTCTTTTTTTTTCAAAAGGACTTTCAACAATGAACTTGAAATTACCAATTTCTTAAAGAATATCTTGTCTACCTACCTCCTAACCCCTAAGTTTATGCCAGTCTCAAATGCTTTGGCCATGAAGATCATGGCACTCCGATCCCCTGCCTCTGCTGCCTCGGCCATATAGTCCACTCCCTTGTCAATGTTCTCTGTGGTTTGCTGGCAACACACAACATCATGTAGCGATAGCTGTCACACTGCCATACTCTCATCGTCACCATCACCATCATCATCATCATCATCACCATCATCATATTTGAAATGACACAGGTAAGCATCATCATTATCATCATCATCGTCATATTTGAAATGGTAAATTAGCATGGTAAATTAGCAAGGTCAAAACATCAAATTTATCAACTTGAAAACAAATAGAGCAAATGTTCAATGAACGGCTTCTCACCTCCACATAGCAGTTGACGAGTACATCTCTCTGGATCCCCAGGTACAGCTTGGCAAGAGTCAAGATGGCCTCCAAAACCCCAAGCTGGGCAGCATGCTCCTCATGGAAGATGGACGATTCCCAGTCAATCTCATTCTCGTTCATAGCAAAGCGTCCCAGCTCATGATATTTGGCCATTTCATGATGGATCTAGAATAGAGTGCCCTTTCTTACAGACAAAGACAGAGAACGATATATTCTTAATCACAGAATTCAAAGCCTTCTGTAACCTATTGGTAGGGAAGTTGCTATGATGTCTGACATGTGAAGGAAATATAACTTATTATTCCTTACTGAATGTGGCTAATAGACAAAACATAAGAATTTCTTAGTCACAGTCTTGAAACAATGTTGATCAATATATGGTAGGCAGGCCGACAAACTTGTTCACATATCCCTTTAAAATTATTCGGTAATAAATAATTAAGGCACATCTATGATACTTGTGATAAAAAGAATATGACATGCTTACCTCCCTTTGCTTACAACATGACATGCTTATATAATTAGATCCCACTACTTCGAATATGACATGCTATTTTCCTTTTACTCTCCACATTAAGTGAGGAGTGAGTGAGTTTAGTTTTACGCCGCATTCAGCAATATTCCAGCTATATGACGGTGGTCTGTAAATAATCGAGTCTGGACCAGACAATCCAGTGATCAACAGCATAAAAAAAATGAACATCGATCCGCGCAATTGGGAACCGATGACATGTGTCAACCAAGTCAGCAAGCCTGACCCCCCGATCCCGTTAATCGCTTCTTATGACAAGCATAGTCGCCTTTTGTGGCAAGCATGGGTTGCTGAAGACCTATTCTACCCCGGATATTCACGGGTCCTGCACATTAAGCAAACATCATCAAAATAGGAAGTGAAAATATACTCACATCTCCCAAAACAGAATCTCCAATGCGTAGATTGGATAACTTTCTCAAATCCAGCTCCATATTCACACAAGATGGCCTCGCACGCATTGCCTGTGCTCGTGAAAAGGCTTCTCGATCCTCTTCCTAACCAACAAATATAAGAAATCAGAAATCTATCTATCTTTGATACCGATCCATGTACTGCCATAGCTCCTAATGCTGAACATAGATACTTGTCATGGTACTTGTCGTGACTTTTTCAATGACACTGATTCAAAAATAGAATACCATTCATCCTTGCCACATATCCTTTAGCAAGACAGGAAACAATTGTTCAGTTTGATTTATTTAAATTCTAAGAATTCATCTTAATTTCTAAGAACTAACCTCATTCATGGAGACACTGTCAGACTCACTGACAAATCTCAATCGTACACGGCCCACTGGACTGTCAATTGACATCGGATCATCATTGGATGTGGGACTGGATGGGTCATCGCTATGGCTACCAGAGGATGAGATTGACCTCTGGCGCAGCAGCTGGGTGATATTGACAGATTCCTTGGGGGAGGGGCTCATACAGAATTCCTCCTTACCACGGACCCGGGTTTGGGCAAACTTGATCTGAATAGGATATATAGAGAGGGTTGAATAACAAGTCTTAGGACAACTTCTAGAAACATGTTAATAACAAATTGACTGTAGAAATTTATTGTCATCTCAAAATATTTTAAACATGTATAACCTGTTATGTCTCTGACAAGACATGACAAATAGTAGATGCTAAAGACTCCATTATATCTGCAAGCGTTTTATGCGCACTCAACAATATTCCAGCTATATTTGTATTAATGAGTGAGTGAGTGAGTTTAGTTTATGACCACCCGAAGACTCAAGCATAATGTTCCAGACCTATTCTACCCCGGATCTTATTGTATAAATGAAACAAATGAAATGATGTTTTTCTGATATGTTGTTATAACATTTCAGCGGGCGGATACAGCTTTTTGAGAAAGGGGAGGTGCGAACTTCATTTTCACAAAAGTTTCAATGGTCATTTAATAAACTTTCAAGACAGAAGGAGGTACACACCCTGCATCCCACCTCCCTCTGGATCCACCTATGGACAATTCATTTGACATGCTGTGATTATGTTAGCAAGTCAAGGAAAAGGCTATTCTGAAAAATAATGACCTGTAGACCTAACAGATATGATATTTGTGTTGCTTTAATAACATCATGCTTCTCAAATTTTGGACAATATTGATGAAGGAAAGTGTAAATGTGAAAATTTCAGGATTGCCAGGATTCAAATCACATTTAACAACACATGTCATCCAAACTACTACACCGTAACACACTTCCTTTTTTTCACTATGGCCACAAGAGTGACAACAGGCAACCACAATACTCCAGATTTACACCGACTAGCAACCAAAATATTCCACATCAGTAACACATCACCATCTTGATGTAGTCACAACCCAAAAATCTTTCATTTTCTGCCTCTGTCAAATCACCAAGCATGACTTATTTGGATTATCATCTCACTAAACTCATTCCAGGATTACATCACTATCAGATTTTACATAAGCTTGTCAGTCAATCACCTGCTTGGCCAGGAAGTCCTTGTGACTGTTAAGCTCATGGGAGGACAGATCGAACTCCGACAGACCAAAACTGTGGCAGATGGTGTTGCAGACATGGGAGTGGAAGAACAGCGCCATCCCCTTGACCCCCAGGTTGCCGTCGCCGTATTCCTTGCCCTCCACGGTGTGGATCTGGGGGTCGGTGTACAGGTCCCCCACGCCCTGGACATCCACCACGATCATTTGGTGGCCAGAGCGCTCAAACGTGAAGTGGCTGAAGGCCTGGGAAACAAGATTCAGAGGTAAAGAAGCTTTAGAATATACTATGGGTGAGTGAGTTGGTATGGTTTTATGCCAACATTAGCAGTATTACAACGGGGGGATGGAAATGGGCTTCACACATTGTACACAAGTTGGGAATCTAACCCAGGTCTTCAGTGTGAGGAACAAACGCTTTAACCGCTTCCCCTCTGCCCAAGAATATATTAAAGGTCACATGCAACGTAAAACACAACTTTGCAGATTCTGATATCTTTCGGAATGGACTTACCGAAACAAATCATCAAAAATGCAAATTCAACTTACAAAGTTGAAAAATAATGCGATGAAAAAAACCGTGCTAAATCGGAGTTCAAACGATTCACTAATTTTGGTTTCAACAGCTGAGCTGGGCTGAGCTGGGCTGGGCTGGGCTGGGCTGGGCTGGGCTGGGCTGGGCATAGCTGCGCTCATCGCGCAGTGAAATAGGTTGCTGCGCAGCTTGGAAGCGGGTTGTCCGGTGATTACTCGGTGAAGGCTTTGGTGTGAGCTATTTTTCTAATGTTTTGTTGATATTCACAGGCACAAGCTTTTTATATGTTATGACAGTAGATTACCGATTTAACTGTTTATATAATTTCATTTGTCTATTTCACCACACGTTCTTCTTACCGAGTCACTTTCTCAGTTTGATACTTAAAAGCAATGTCATTATTTAGCGTTGACAGAATTTCTAACTGTGATATAGATATGTCATTGTCACAGACAAAACTCAATGTCTGTTTTATTGACACATATGTGTCTGCCTGCCTGTCTGCTAATGACAATATTCAATACACAACTTCAATCACTGACCACATGCAATTTGAACTTAACACCTATCAGGCTATACACCATAAACAAAACGCATTGATTTATGGCCCGAGTTCGGTCTCTGTCACATTATGTAATTACACATACTTGTACACATGACATGTTATTGTCTGTTGATTGCAGAACCCAACATCTCTATATATACACACACAATGAGCCATGAGGCATCTGCAAATGAACCAGCCGTTACACTTGAGTGCACACCCACCTGCTCTGACTGGATTCGGTATCCCGGCTGCTTCGTTTGTTGGTAAGTAAACCCAAGTACAAAATATTGCACTTTTGATTTGCGATTGTACGCTTATAATTTTGTTTATATGTTTTTTCATAATCAGCAATGTATATTATATGTCATGAATAAGTGATAATTGTGTTTTAATTATGTTTGATTTTTTGGTTGCATGTGACCTTTAAGGGTTCATATATACTGTCAATGAAAAGAGTATGGTTTTACATTATTTTTAGTAATACTCTGGTAATATGAAATCAGAATCAGAAATAAGCTTTATAGATTGTATCCAGGAGGGGAATCAAACTCAGGCTTTCTGTGCTTAAACAGTGTGATCGGTTCTACAAGGTAGCTACAAGTGTTATGACTATCGTGAATTGATATTAAAGAATGGAATCTTGTAGATCGCCTTAATGCTATGGATATATTAATCTGTGTTGGAGCATTAGAGCTATGATGGTCTTACTGTTACGATCATCTCATAAGTCTGTGTGTTTGCATTAAGAATTTACCTGTGGTGTCAGTCTGATGGTCTCCTCCACAAATCCGGAGTTTGAGTTGTACTTGACATAGTCACCCTCGATGAAGTGTTCCAGGTGAAAAAGGGGACCCCTTTCTTTCTTTGAACTCCAAGATGTACATCTGGAATATGTCCACCTGGAGCAAGGATGCAGTCTCTATTATTCTGGTGTTATTAACAGGTATATGGGTCATGGGACTCCCAATTTACCCATCACACATTGTGCATATCACACACTGCACCCATCACGCATTGTGCATATCACACACTGCACCCATCACACATTGTGCATATCACACACTGCACTGCACTCCATCACACATTGTGTTTATTGTGTTTATCACACACTGCACCCATCACACATTGTGCATATCACACATTGCACCCATCACACATTGTGCATATCACACACTGCACCCATCACACATTGTGTTTATCACACACTGCACCCATCACACATTGTGTTTATCACACTGCACCCATCACATATTGTGTTTATCACACACTGCACCCATCACATATTGTGTTTATCACACACTGCACCCATCACATATTGTGTTTATCACACACTGCACCCATCACACATTGTGTTTATCACACACTGCACCCATCACACATTGTGTTTATCACACATTGTGCACACAGGGCACCCATCACACATTGTTTATCACACACTGCACCCATCACACATTGTGTTTATCACACACTGCACCCAAGTACTACACCAAAAGGTGATATTCATATTAAATGCAAGCATATAAACTACTAGAACAGGGCTTTTAAACTACATCACTGCCTTCCACATTTATGAAAACCCATGTGTCAATGTACAGTAACTCGTGTGTCTATGTGTAGCTGTGTGTCCTGGAACACATGTCAATGTATATTATACATCCATCCTACCTTCTTCGGTGGGTTGTGACGATTGTACTCCTCTCCCCACAGTTTAGCATCCATCTGGAGCTTCACATCCTCAAAGTACACCTCACGATCAACCTTCTCTATGTAGGACTTGGCCACATAGTTACAAGCATGTTTCCAGTCCGCCTTGTTGGAGAATGTTGACAGCTTTTTCCTGAAACAATAGAGAATTCCATAATCTTCAACAAGCTTGCTATTGCCAAGACGTCGAATTTTAGATGCAGTGTGTTCACTGTTTATACTGATAACTGATTGGACATCAAGCTATATATGCAGCTTCTGCCAAAAGTGTTTGACTCAACCAAGTCATATTTGGCTCAAGGCATCAATTTCTTTTGACACTGTGTTGTTGTTATAATAATAATAATAACGGATAGCTAATCTCTGAAAGGACTCTTTGCACATTTCTCTCACAAAAAATGTACACATTAAAGGAAAGCTTGTTTAAATAAGAAAGTTTTTACAACCGGTCTTGAATGAACTTAGAGAAGAGGAATTGCAGAGTTCATTTGGGAGAGCATTCCAGACTGAGGGCGCACTATATTTGAAAGAGCGCTGTCCTGCTGACTTTAAGGATTTTTAACAGTTTCTCACGGAGAGCGGAGTGTTTGTGGAGCCTTGTAAGTAGAGAGCTCTCTGTACAGGTATGGCGGTAGTGAACCATCAACATGGCAAAACACAAGTGTTGCAATCTTCTATTTGTCATAAGGCGAGTAATTACCTCTGACTGAATACAATGCTTCTATACTCAGACCAGCGACTGAACTGCCAACATACCTTAATGTTATCACTATTATCTGTTTATTTGCATCTTACTTAACACTGCACTCAGCAATGATATACCTGTGACTGTGCCACACCAAATGAAACTCTGCTAGTCAGGCAGAACTTGTACTAGTTCTATTCCAAATTGTAAGACCTTTAAGATTTACTGGATCCTACACCAGTGTTGCATCCAGGAATTTGGGATTAAGAGGGGGGACATCCCAATAATGCTTAACTGTTACAAAAGAGGGGGACCTGATGCACCAAGCAGTGGGGGATGACATATTGACTAAAGATAGGTATTTACTGTAATGCTGATGCCATTTCATTTACCATATTTCTTAAGTTGACTTAACTATTCACATGAGTTTTCTTACCTGACCTTTGGCTCAACATTGTGACATATACAGTGAAATAAACGTCTCTCTAATTTCTTACTATATTACCGTAGATAAGCCCAATTTTGAGGACCCAAAAAAGCAGTCTGCAGAAGGATATCAGCTTATCTACGAGTTGTGTTTTCGTGAAACTTTTTTTTCAGGGGTAAGAAAACGACATTACATATCACTTTGTGTGAACAAACAAGAGAAGACGACTTTGTCAGTAAAGACAGTAAATTTGCAATTAAACACCACTAGACAAGACTGTTTACCTTTTCAGTTCTAATATTTGTTTTTGTTTTGCATTGTGTTACATGAGGGATTAAGATCACTGTGTGCATTTGTCTCCCATACAGAGCCGGAAATAGCAATCAGTATGCAAAACAGAAAATAGATATAGGTAAAACAAGCATTGTCACTAAGGTGACATAATCCTCCGCCGCAAATTATCAAATCAAACATAAAAAGTAATGAAAGTGAAGGTCGTAATTTAAGATGAAGTTAATAGTATTAGGCTCCGTCTGTCCGTAAAAAACTGCTTTGGGTATTTGTCATGAAAAGAGAGAGAATGATGAAACTGGTTTGGTTTAACAAACTGAAGAGTTTATCAACACGATTTGCAGCCTTGTTTATATATTTACCAAAGACGCTTTTGATTTGCGATATGTAAATGCGTCCACGAGACCCACACGTTATGCAGGTGCCTGAGTTGCGTGACAGGTCACGCATCGATTTTCATTTTTTGCGGGAGATATACGTTAATTGTGGGGAATCCCGCAATTTGCGCAGCGTGGATGCAACACTGTACACCCAAATCCTGCAGCTTACAACCTCGAGGCTGCTGATCTTTACACAATAATGATTGACAACTGTTACCACCTTTAAACAAGAACCATTTTCACCAGATATCCTATTACCAGCAAAGGAATTGTTATATTTTTGACAACGTACAAGCTATTAATGCCTTAAACAAAACTTATTTATGAAGTTATAAAGTCAGCAGTATAAACAATTTATAAAATCTTGACATATACTCCATCTGTCTGACACAAAGGAATCCCTTCAACCCAACTCTAATAAAGTTTACCCCAGATGTCATCGTTCATCCTACTATCAATGGGCAGTTTTAGCTGACAAAGATCCTGTCAGGCTAGCACAGGTTCAATGAGATGTTTACAGTACAGGGGAATGACCAGGCTCAGGTTACCATGGGTCTATTACCGTACATGTTATAACAAGAGTCAGTTTTGGTTTTATGCCGCTTTTAGCAATATTTCAGCAATATCACAGCGGGGGACACCAGAAATGGGCTTCACACATTGTACCCATGTGGGGAATCAAACCGGGTCTTCAATGTGACGAGCAGATGCTTTAACCACTAGGCTACCCCACCACCGTATTATAGTGAGTGAGTGAGGATGGTTTTACGCCGCTTTTAGCAATATTGCAGCAATATCACGACGGCGGACACCAGAAATGGGCTTCACACATTGTATCCTTGTGGGGAATCGAACCCGGGTCTTCAGTGTGTCGAGCAGATGCTTTAACCACTAGGCTACCCCACCACCCTTATTATAACAAGATATAACACCTGTAAACATATAACCTATTAACACTGGCTGCCATTCAGAATATACTGCCCACATAAAACTGTGGAAACACTTTATTTATCAGATTAGTTTGCATAATTTTCCAGAGGAGTACTAGCCTCCTAAGTTTCAGTGTATAATAAAGACTACCAGATTTCAGTGTAAAATAAACAGACAGCCTTCACAATTTCAGAGAAAAGGCAGAGGCAACTAGATTGCAGTGTATAATAAAGACTACGAGATTGCAGTGTATAATAAGACTACCAGATTTCAGTGTATAATAAAGACTACCAGATTTCAGTGTATAATAAAGACTACCAGATTTCAGTGTATAATAAAGACTACCAGATTTCAGTGTAAAATAAGCAGATAGCCTACAGGATTTCCAGTAAAGACAGAGGTCACATGATTGCAGTGTAAAATAAACAGACAGCCATCACAATTTCAGAGTAAAATAAACAGACAGCCGTCACAATTCTAGAGTAAAGACAGAGGCAACTAGATTGCAGTGTATAATAAAGACTACATGATTTCAGTGTAAAATAGAAAGAGAGCCATCATGATTGAATGTAGTATAAATACAGCATATATAATGATAGACAGCTGTCCACAGCTGTTGCACGTCTTGTCCAGACCACCACACTATTTACGGTAAAGCCTTGGAGCTGTACTTGTTTACTTCACCTGATTCCCTAAATCACCCGGCTTAGTGTCCACTTTTACCTGAATGTCAGAAATAAACACAGCACCTTTATGATTTGATGTAAAATAAAAGACAGAGCCTACTAGATTTGAGCAAACACAGAGCGTATAAGATTTCAAGGTAAATTCAAGAGAGAGCCAACATGATTTCAGTGTAAAACAAAGACAGAGCCTACTAGATAGCAGTGTGAAGACACAGCCTACTAGATAGCAGTGTAAAGACAGTCTACTAGATTTTAGTGTGAAGACAGAGCCTACATGTTTTCAGTGTAAAATAAACAGACAGCCTACATGATTTCAGTGTAACATAAACAGACAGCCTACATGATTTCAGAGTAACATAAACAGACAGCCTACATGATTTCAGAGTAACAGACAGCCTACATGATTTCAGAGTAACATAAACAGACAGCCTACATGATTTCAGAGTAACAAAACAGACAGCCTACATGATTTCATTGTAAAATAAAGAAAGAACTAACATGATTCAGTGTAGTATATAGACAGCCTGAATAACTACAGTATATCTACTGATAGACAGCCTGAATAACTACAGTATATACAGTATATAATGATAGACAACCTGAATAACTACAGTATATATATCCTCTAATGACTAGAGAACCTGAATAACTAATCTAATGATAGACATCCTGAATAATATCTACTGATAGACAGCCTGAATAACTACAGTATATCTAATGATAGACATCCTGAATAACTACAGTATATCTAATGACAGACAACCTGAATAACTACAGTATATCTAATGATAGACAACCTGAATAACTACAGTATATCTAATGATAGACATCCTGAATAACTACAGTATATCTAATGATAGACAACCTGAATAACTACAGTATATATAATGATAGACAGCTGTCCACAGCTGTAGTATTTCTTGTCCAGACGACCACACTATTTACGGTAAAGCCTTGGAGCTCTGCTTGTTTACTTCACCTGATTCCCTAAATCACCCGGCTTAGTGTCCACTTTTACCTGTATCCACATGCAGAAACCTGCTAAAAGTTGTTGTAATCATATTTCTACATAGGACTGTAGAAACCTGCTAACACTTCCACAAAAAATGTCTTTATTCATCCGACAGTGCTGTTATTAGGTCTTTCAACTGATCTAGATAGAAAACATCAAGCTTTTCATACACAGCTGTCGTATGACAGGCTTCAAACAATCTCACAGTTTTGACAAGTAAAGACTGACGGAATAAATCCTTCAATATCTTGCAATATAAGGAAAAAGTCTCATTTGACAAAATTCTGGTGGTGATCTTCATGGAACAAAATGATCACTTTCTTCGTATGTATGCATTCTACTATCCTTGATTATCAATATATGACACGGTTTTAGGGAAAACAACTTCTTTTTATTCTTTATACTTAGTTTCAGAGCAATTTCTAACCTGATGAAGGAGCAAGAAGTAGCTCTGAAACGTCGTATAAAGAATATAAAGAAGTTGTTATCCATAGAAACATGTCATGCATTCATGTTCGTTCTACTTCTAAAAGCCTTTCAAGAACTTCACTTGATTATCAAGTAACAACTGTCTCCATGCTATAATGATAAATACACTTGACACGTTCATTACTATAATTTTGTCGAATAACATTTAAGCCCAAAGGTGGCCATCCATTCTGGTTAGGCTATGAGGAAGATAATTCCTGTACTATGACCATCTGATATTCAGGAAAGGAGCT